TAGATTCCACATATAAGTGAGATCATACATTATTTTCTTTTTGTGTCTGGCTTATTTCACTTAGCATAATGTCCTCCAGATCCATCCATGTTGTTGCAAATGGCAGAATTTCCTTCTTTTTTTTTAAGGCTGAATAATATTCCATTGTATGTATATACCAGATTTCTTTATCCATTCATCTGCTGATGGATGTTTAGGTCATTTCCTTCTCTTGGCTATTGCAAATAATGGTGCAGTGGGAATGTGGGTATCTCTCTTTGAGATTGATACTTATTATAGGAATTGTTACACATATTGATTCTAAATTAATTTCTACATAATTTCATAGAAGACTATATTAGGTACTATAGAAAGTTCTCTTGTCTGTGTTTCAATATTGCTTTTTTAAAACCTCCTTTACGGTAGTATCAGATAATTCTCCAGTACTATTTTTTCACATGTTCCCTCAGAATAAACTTCCTCAAGGCAAGACTGTCTTATTAGTGTTTGTATCCCCAACATTTAGCTATCTGGCCAAAAGTAAGCAGTCAATAAACATTTGTTGAATGAATTAATGGAGGTGAACATTTCTAACCATTCCCAACCAGCTATTTCATTCCACTGTATTTTTTTGCTCTTCATTTTTTTCTAGTTCTCATTTGAATGCATAAACCTCAATACAGTTTTTAAAATTTATTTCATTGTTAAAATATTTTATTTTTAAAATTTGATCTGTGATCTGTTTATAAAAGCTTTATAGGGCCCCGTGGCTTAGCGGTTAAGTGCGCGCGCTCCGCTACTGGCGGCCCGGGTTCGGATCCCGGGTGCGCACGACGCACTGCTTGTCCGGCCATGCTGAGGCCGCGTCCCACATACAGCAACTAGAAGGATGTGCAACTATGACATACTATCTAGTGGAGCTTTGGGGGAAGAAAAAAGGAGGAGGATTGGCAATAGATGTTAGCTCAGAGCCAGTCTTCCTCAGCAAAAAGAGGAGGATTAGCACGGATGTTAGCTCAGGGCTGATCTTCCTCCCCCAAAAAAAAAAGCTTTATATTTTTAGCATTATATATTTTTAGTATTTCTAGTATATTTTTAGCGTTATATTCCTAGAGAGGAAAAAAGTAGTATATTAAATGAGATTATTGTAGATGCTTGAAACATAATGGAAAAGAAGTACTCTAGTTTTTATACTGGAGAAATCTGAAAATAACTTGGTTTCTCCATGGGCGCAGTTGTAACTTACACAATGGTAACAACATAATAGGATGGTGTCAAATTCTCAAGAAGTGGGATAGTAATTCATCAGCCCACCCACTTCAAGCTCTAGATGTCACCCAAATAAATAGTTAGCCGTATTTTTTTTAACCCTGTCTGGACTTTTAAATTACCTATCTGTATCCTATAGCAAAATCATAATACAGTATTGGTTCTAATGAGCTTTTTCAAGAACATTTCTTTATACCTATTTATTAGTCATTTGAATTTTATTGGTTCTCACTACTTACAGCTTCTAATCATGTGCTATTAGTTAAATATTTCCCAGCAACCTCAGGACCTTGTTCTTTGATGTGTATTTTATTTTTACTTGTTTCTCTCAACATTTAGATTATATGTTTTCTAAGGGTGCTGTTGAAAACATTTGATATTGAACCATTTTTAAACCAATGGTGACATATTGAAAAGAAGATTATGTGGGCAAGACATAATGATTATAATTAAGTGACAGAGAAAGTAATATGTGCATGGAGAGCTGAAAAATACAATGGAGACGAGTAGGTAGATGATGGAGACAAAGGACCCCTGGTTGAAAATCATATATTTAATCACAGAATCTGCCCAGTCTAAATGCCAAAGTATTTTTGTTGGAGGAGAGAACTAGTAAGGGGGATTTTTATGGGTATGTATTACTTCTGAACGTGGGTATATGCTGCCAGCACTGTTTGCCCGATCAAACTGTTGACATCACGGAGGTCAGAAGCATCCTATTTAGGTCATGGGCAGGTAATTCTTTATAACTTTTCCTTTTATTTGGAGAAAAAAGAGTTGTTCATGCCTCTTTAATTACTTTGGCCAGGCTTTTAGCCGAGTTTTGTCTTGTTTTTAATGCTGTTTTTGCTGTTGCTTGTGTTGTGGCCAAACCAGGCTGAGGGATGGGGATGAGAGGCTCAGAGGGTTAGCGAATGAGCGCTTCCTTCTCTGCACTAGTTGGAAGGAAATAAGTAAGCTAGCAAATATGATGGAAACCAAATTCCCAAGGCTTTTCAATGAGAGAGTGTGGAGTAAAACACATGGGACTTGGAGTCAGATGGACCTGTAATCCTGCCTATACCTTCCTTAACTGTGCAATTTTAGCCTCAGTTGGCTTGCCTTACAACTGGGGAAAAGTCTTGCAGGTTTGTATTAGGATGAAATTGGAAACATGTAAAGTTTCTAACACTGGCCCTGGTGTGTGTGTGTGTGTGTGTGTGTGTGTGTGTGTGTGTGTGTGTTGGGGGGGCACTTTTTTCTTTTTAATTGTTGTTATATGAGAATTTAAGTTCTCAATGATAATTGCAATCATATATTCCTTGAATTAATTTTAGTAGTGTAACCCCAAGACTCAGTGCTACGTGGTATGAAGATGGCTTTGGAGTCATTCATGGGGACACTTGAAGGCTGACATGCCTTCTTCATATCTGTGAGACTTGGGGAAGTTTGCAGTACCTGTCTGAATCTTCTTTTCCTCATTGGTAAAATGGACTTAATGTTACATATTTTTCAAAGGTATATTGAGATTTTTGTGATAATATACATACAAGGCTGGGCACCAGGAACATATATTTACTCCCAGCCCTTGTTCATATTTTGATTTTAAATTGTTACAAACGTGATTTTATTTATTTTAGAGTGAAATCATAGTGATGGGCTGAATCTATTGGGAAAATACTTTAATAATTTGAGGAACAGTTGAAGTTGAGACCCGAGGCCTAGTTAACCTTTCGTACTTGACATTCCTGAATTTATCCATGAAAAGTAAAGATAGTAACGACTACTCACAAATAATTTAACCTCCCACAAGGCTGTCTGTTATTACAAATGCTGAGAAAACAGAGGTGAGGATAAACTTGAGTTCTCTGTCTTTTGCCTTGTAATCTATTCTCCATATTTACATTTGAATATACACAAGGTTGTTGTCCTAGAAATGAACAGTTTATCAGACAGGCTAATGGAACCTCACTGTAAGGTATGATTCTCTAGGATATAATCCTGCCTTTTCTTTCCTTTTCCCAATTAATTCTTCCCATCTCCACACTCTAAACTGCAGCTAGAGTTGCTTTTAAGAGTATAATCAGGCAGCTGTAGTGCAATAGTTGAAGAGCACAAGCTTTGAGGGGAGACTGTCCAAGTTTGTGTCCTGTTCCTCCGTCTGCTGTGGATTGGCCAAGGCTGGTTTACAGACCTCTCTAATCTGCAGTTACCAATATATATAAAGTGAAGAAAATAATAGTATCTCTCTAATGAGGGTTCTTTGAAGAGTCAATGGAATGATGCACTTAAAAATTAACACAGTGCCTGGCTCATTAACTCTCAACACCTTGTAATTCTTATTATAGTTATAATTATTATATAAGAGGAAATATACTAAAAATATGTTTGTGTCTGAATATATAAAGAATCGTGTTTGGGTAACATTTAATCTCATTTTTAGATTCTTGAAAAGATCAGAACTCTTTTCTAACTTGCTGGATCCAACCTTTGCTAAGACTGGGCAATTATTGCAGTGATTCTATTTGTATTTAAAATGTCTTTGTTATTGTCTAAAAGCAATTTAAAGTCTAGCTTATTTTAACAAAGTTAGAATAGATAAGACATAACCACGATTTTGTAGCAATATTGCAGCTCAATCAATGTTGACTAGGATTTTTTTACCCGATGTGCTGTTATTGCTAAAAATCATTTTGAGTAAAATGGCTTTGTTTATGCAAATACATGGCAGCATACTCAATCCTCGTGAGATATTTCTTATCAGTGTACTCTAATGTTTGTGTAGTGGTCTCCAATTGTGGAGTAATCATCTTTATTATTAATAATGATATTAAGTGACAACCAAGCACTGTGCTGAGCATGTTATTTGCATTATTTCATTTTATCAACTCAAAGTAGTTACTGTTCTCCCGATTTTACAGAGGAGCAAATGGACTTTGAGAGGTGAGGAACTTACCCAGAGCCACATGTCTAGGGTGGCAAGGATGGACCATGACTGACTCCAAAGCCCCCTTAACAGTAGAAGAGAAGCATCTGTGACAAAGGTGTTGTGATACAGGCTTTGCAAGGGCATTTCCATGTGGTACAAGTTCTTTATTAAAGCTAGACATTATCACTGGTAAATCCATGAACACGTTATCAGGATCTATAAGGTGAAGTCTTAATAAGAAACAAGCTTTAATTCTTATTTTCCTCAATTTATTATCTTAGGATGTTTTCTTATCTATTTAATGGATAATGCTTTTTGATATTTTAGAGAAAGATTGTGTTTTGATATTTTGTAATTTGGAACGAAACACGTCCCCTGCTTCCAGACAACAGGACAACATAAAGGAGCTAACCGTGTCCTAATGGGTGTGGGGAGACAGCATTTTATTCTAGGAACTTTGACTATATTTTGAATTAGTATTAAATCTATATAACTTGATAGTATTAGAAATTAGTGAGACCAAGTAAAAATTTTCCTCAAGAGGAAACCTCTGTCTTTGCATTCTTCACTACTCTTTCTTCTCCTTTTAATTGGCAAAGAAAAATGGAGTAATAATACTGTGCCTTATTAATACTAAATTCAAATTTATTCAGTTTTAGGAACTCTAATGAATTTGTTGGAATATTTTTAATCCCTTTCTATCAATCCATCCATACATAGTATTTCCTAAATTTATCAACAGTTTGCATGGTTATTCAGATGTCTTGAATGACATTTTACAGCATGGTGACATATGCATTCTAGGATCTAACATGCTACAATTTCTGCCCTTTTTCCCTTCCAGTGTCTGTATTTACGCTGAAAGTCCAGGTGAATGACGTCATCAGTCGTCAGTACCTGAGCCAAGCAGTTGTAGAAGTGTTTGTAAACTACACGAAGACCAATTCCACAGTGACTAAGAACAATGGAGCAGTGTTGATAAGAGTGCCCTATAAATCAGGACTCAGCTTAACCATTATTGCTTACAAAGATGGCTACGTGTTGACTCCTCTGCCTTGGAAGACCGGAAGAATGCCAAGTAAGCCCTTCAGCAGTGTTTTGCCTTCATAAATGTCTATGATTTTTTTTTTCTCTGCTTTCGGAATCTTTTGTTCTGGTAAATGAGAATATCTATGTGAAGGCAGTATAAGGAGGCTAGAAAGGAGTGCCAGTTTGAAGAAAACATGAAGGCCTTTTTCCTTCTACAGAGGCTTGAAGGAATGCTGAGCAAGAGCTCGGCTCTGGTACAAAGTGTGTCTGCAGGTGGAGGGAAGGGGCTTGGCAGGCCCAGAGGATTAGTTAGAAACAGGGTGGGCCGGGTACCGTGGGGCCAGGTGATGATGGAAGGATGTTCTCAAAAGATGAGACAAACAGTTTAGATTTATGTGCTGAGTAATAAAGCAGTTATTATAGATTCTTGAACACAATGAGTGTCAGTTGTTAGAAACTGAATTTACTTAACAGTGTACAATGAATAGGCCAGCAGTAGGACTAAAATGGATTCAGGGAGCCTGGCTACAAAGCTGCGGTTGTGCTGGTGGACGATAACAACAGCCTCGTGTCAGAGAGGGAATGAAAAGGAGAGGAGGAGTACATGAGGCATGCTGAAGAAAGAGTTGGTAATTACTGTGGTAATCATTTCACAATATATACATATATCAAATCATCACATATTACACCTTAAACTTATATGATATTATATGTCAATTATATCTCAATAAAGCTGGAAAAAAAAAGAATTGATAGGACTTAGTATGACAAATTGAATATTGGGAGGAATGGGCCATACAAGGTACCGTAATATAAGTCTGACTGATTAGAAGGATGATACATTAGGTAATAGGTCTCTCTCTCTCTCTCTTTTTTTTCTTGGTGGGGAAGATTAGCCCTGAGCTAACATCAGTTGCCAATCCTCCTCTTTTTGCTGAGGAAGATTGGCCCTGGGCTAACATCTGTGTCCATCTTCCTCTATTTTATATGTGGGATGCCTGCCACAACATGGCTTGATAAGCGGTATGTAGGTCCACGCCCGGGATCTGAACATGTGAACCCCGGGCAGCCGAAGCAGAGCACGAGAACTTTAACCACTACACCACTGGGCCAACCCCTCTCTTTTTTTTTAATGTGGTACTTCTTGTTTTAGAATTTAGATATTTTATTTGGTTTCATATTGGAAGCATGCAAATTCTTGAACCATTATTTAAATTTAGAATGAGAAAGAAAATGAAAAATGAATTAGATAATTTAATAAGATTCATGTGAACAAGATTTTAATAAAATCATGACTAGAAAATCTGAATAGGGTTGTGTTTGAGGTGAATTTATGGTCTTAAATGCTTTAATTTTTTTAAAAGTCAGAAATTAAGCATAGTTATTCATTCAGTGAAAGTTAGAAAAATAAAGAAAAAATAATAAAGATTAAAGTAGATTGGCATAAATTAGAAAATATAAAGAAGAGATAATTGACAAAATGCTAGTTCTTTGAAATAAATTATACATACATCTGGCTAATCTAAACAAAAATGAGGGAAATAGAAGGCAAGAAAAGAAATACATAAAAGCTTTAAAAATCATATCGAATTTAATGGCACTAATCTTAAAAAAATGCAATAAAATGAACAATTTTGTGATAATATAAATGACTATATTGATTTTAGATGAGGTAGACCAATAACCATGGATAAGATGTTCTAGGTAAAAATAACTTGATTCGAAGGCTGTAAGAAAAAGTACTCCAAATCATTTTACTAAACCAGTGCAGCCTTGATTCCCATACTTAACAAAGGTAATACAAAATTAAATGCCTTAATATATGTGCATACTCTCTCTCTCTCATATATATATGTACACCCCTCTATAGACCAATCTTATCTATAACTCTGTATGTAAAAATCCTAAACAGAATAGTAAAAAGAATTTCACCATTATTGAAATATAGCGCACTGTCAAGACCAAGTAGGATTTTTCTTCTTTGCAGGACTATAAGGATGTTAAATATGTGTCAAATTCTATTAATTTTTTGTATATCATATTAGTAGAACAAATTAGAACTATATGATATTATCAACAATTGTCTGAAATGCATTTTACAAGTTTACCATCCATACCTAAGAACAAACTTTTTAAAAACTAGGACCACAAAGATATCCTTAAGTATCTCAAAATCATACTTAGCTATAAAATATTAGAAGTGATCCTACTAAAATAAGAAACTAAACACAAATGTCTATAGTAATTTATATTGTAGTAGAAGTTCGTATCAGAGCAAAAAGATATTCACAGATAAAAAAAGGGGATAGCTATTAGGAAGAATGAAAACCATTATTTCTGGTTATGATCATATGCCTGGAAGACTACAAATTAGCATTGGTACAAATCCATACATGTTCTTATATACCAAAAGTAATAACCAGTTAGGAAAAATAATGAAGAGAAATCCCTCTTAGAACAACAAGAACAAAATATACAGGGAAACCCACAAAAAAAAGTGAAATAAATGCGTGTGGGGAAAATAAAACTACTACTAACAAACATTGGTGATGGAGCTAAAAAACCCAAATAAACTAAAACACTGGATAACTGGAAAAACATCATATTTCTTCTTAGAAAAACTGAATATTGTAAAGATTTCAGTTCTTCCCTAATTAATTTATAGACTTAATGTATTAAAGAAAAATCTTGGCAAAATAATTCTTAAAGAATAAATGTGTAAAAATACCTGGGAATCTTGTTTTGAAAGATTTACTAGAGGCAGTTTGCCATTCCAGATGACTAAAATATATAGCTACAAAATTAAAACTATGTGATATTGTACTATGATTTGTACTCTGGTACAGATCAGATACTAGTATTTATAAAAAATGTAATCTATGGTAAGATGCCATTATAAATCTGAGTATTCAGTAAGTAGTATTGGGATATTTTGCTCAGCTATTCAGAGTAAATTAATTTGGATGCATATTCCAAAATGTATCGCTTGAAGAGTTCAAATGTGGAAAATCAAATCAAATATAAGAGAGTAAGAAACTGTCTGATTTTTTTATTAGGATGGTCTGTTTAAACTTAAAAGCAATAGAAGATATCATAAATAATAGATTTCACCATATTTAAAAAAATGGTAGGAAAAATATATGAAACAATAAGGAGTGATATCCTTAATAATGCAAACAATTTATATGAATCAGTAAAAAACACCAGTGCCCTGCCTAAATAAGGTATATGAGCTAGCAATTATAAACACAGGAAATACAAATGATTAGTAAATGTGAGAAAATATTTTACTTTCCTAATAATCTAAGATGTGTACATCAAAGAAATACACATTTCTTAGATTTTTCACCTTAGAAAAGTTTTTAAAAAGTGAACATACTCAGTATTGACAGAGTGAGGTAAGAAGGCCATTCTCAAACACGGTTGATGGGCGTACAAATTAGCGAAATTCTCTGGATAGCAATTTTGAAATATGTGTCAGTCTTCAAAATCTTCGTAACTTTTGACCCAATATTCCACTGCTAGGAATCTATCCTAAAAACAAACATACAAATAAGTAGGGTGGACAGATGTTTGTGCACAAGGATGTTGATTCAAATATTTTGTAATAGTAGTGAAAATGGAAACAATCTAAATATACAATATGAGTGTAGTGGTTAAGTAAATCTTGATACTTCAAGAAATGAAATATGTGACCTTGAAAATATTATGAAAAGTTTCTATTGAGGAAAAGAAATGCTTATGATATTATCTTAAGTGAAAAAAGCAGGGTAAAAAATATTCTGTATACAATGTCATACTCCCTATTTTGAAAAATCCAGGAAGACCTATACTGAAATACTAATTAATAGTGGGTGTCTCTGTGGTGGTATTGTGATGACCATCATTTTCTTTTTCTTTTTTCTGTATTTATCAACGTTTCCAGAGTGGATATACATCCCTTTTATAATCGGAAACATTTTTTTTAAGAGAAAGGAAATCTGAATGTAAGTTTTAGTGAGGTTCAAAAGAGTCTCCTCAGGTTTAATAACCTTAAAAAGCTGTCATGGCTGCCCCTTTTAAGCTACCTGTGACTGAGAAAGTATCCAAATATGGGATAATGCCCTAATTATAATCGTCTCAAGGTCCAAGCTACTACCCTACCATCTCCTCTCCAATCGAATAAATCCATTAATCAGTCTAAATGTTAGTGTATTCTGAATTGAAATCATACCTTCCTATGGTAGTCCTCTTTTCCTATTTAGGAAAAAAATGTATTTCATTTTATATCCACCTGTACATCAGTGTATACTTTTTGTATTTTGTCCTGTCTTTTCCATATTTCCTTTACAGCTCTTTGATGCACCTCAAAATATTAAAAGTATTGCCATGCAAATGTGCTTTATCTTAAGTGATTGAGGGATATTATGTTATTTCTATTAATTTTAAATGCTTATATCACATTGAGGAGAGATATCAAATGAGAACTCGTGCTTTGGGTAACGCCTCAAAACGTATTTTTCTTTTGCAGGATTAGTAGGCTTATTTGATCTGTTCTTATAAAATGATGGTCTCTTGTCCCAGCTTCTTGCTCCTGATCTTGAAAAAATTGTTATCTTTCAGGTCACCTGCACTTCACTCATCTCACCAGTTGTTTCAGGGGCCTACGTTTGTAGGCGGGTTCAGCCCCATCCGTCCTGCGTTACTGTGGATCATTCTGTGCATTAAACTGTTTTCTCCTCTGCCAACTCAGAGTCTGTTTGGCAAACCATACTGTGTGAAGAAGAGCATTGGACCCTTATGTAGGAAGTTAAAAAAGAGGAGTGGATGTAGTTTCTATCTTAAAGACCCTTGAATCATGGAGCCAAGAAAATTGTTTAAAAAATCATAAGAAGGAAATAACAAGTAACAATTTATGTAGAGAAAATAGCAGAGGATTATTCAAGTATTTTTAACTTGACCATATATATCTGGGGTTAGTTAGCAAACATCACCAGTCACTTTGGTACAGATACTGCGTGAAATAGAAAAGGTTAGTAGAATAAATGGTGATGCCCAGTCTTTTCTTCTCACTTGATGCTGATCCTCTTTTTCCTCCATCATATTTTACATTTATTCTTCCTTTGCTTTGAATTACTTTTCCCATCACACAGCTTTTTCCCCACTTTTTAGGATCTGCTGGAACAGAACTATATTTATCCCAGTTTTCCCCCATGTTTAATGAAATATTCTAATTGTGCTATATTTCACAGTATATTCGTCAGTTACACTGTCACTGTTCCCGCAAAGCCAAGCAAATATATGGCTATTTGAAGACACTGTTTTAATTACTGGAAAATTATCTGGTAAGTACAACACTTCTTATTCAGCTAGTAGGTAAAGGCTTAAAGTGATATTATGTAACTGTGCTTCTTCCCTAATGGATCAATGTTTATTATAAAATGTAAACTGATCAGGGATGATTATACTGCCTGTATGTTGATCTGAACTGATTGTTATTTCACTATCAGACTACAGTATGGGTTTTTTGTGTGGCAGGAATCATCCTCTCCTTTCCTATTTTAGCCTTCAAATAGGAACATTTGACTTTCAGAAATATTGGAGAGAGCTTCTGAACTTCTTTCTAAATCATATCTTTCATTAGGCTTTAGTGGTTGGTGAAATTGGGAAAAGGACTCAGACCTTTGGGGCTCTCTAATTTGCAGGTCACCTCTATTCCTGCCTGTGCCATTAAACTTGCTGCCTCTGTGGGACAGGCCCGAGGCCGGGTAGGTGAAGTATCATGCTCCATGGACATGACTTGCCCCAGTTGCATATCCCAAGGGGAAGAATATAGGAAGCCTTATGCTGAGTCTGAATCAAGCTGTGACCTCCAGCTCTGCTTTACCAGCCATGAAGATGAGAGTTTCATTCTTAAGTCACCTCCTTAACTAATCCTCAGGGAATCCCCCGCATTTTGTGACTTGTCTCCTGCATATTATATAAAAACTCTTGAAATGAAACAATTTGCTTTTTTGTTTGTTTCTTTTGTATTGGGGAATTAACCTTTAGAACGAAAACATAATAGGAATGACTGGTAAAGGCAGAAAATCCTCACGTAGAGTCCAATAAGAGAGTCATGGTAAAAAGAATTGTTTGTAAAAGTTCTCTTCGTTTTCAGAAGCTATCTTATTTTTCCTAAAGTAATAAAAGGAAAACCGAATACTATTATTTTGAAAAAAATTAAACTAGGGCTTGATTAGTCTTGGAGCAGTTTACTGAGTGAGGCAGTAGAATCTCTTACTCTTTTTTTTTTTGCTGAGGAAGATTGCCCATGAGCTAACGTCTGTGCCAGTCTTCCTCTATTTTGTATGTGGGTTGCTGCCACAGCATGGGTGCCGCCAAGTGGTGTAGGTCTGCTCCGTGGAACCAAACCTGGGCTGCTGAAGTGGAGTGTGCCCAACTTAACCACTAGGCCATGGGGCCAGCCCCTAGAATCTCTTACTGTTGAAATGCTAAGGCATTTAGCAGAATTTTGAGCCAGTGGGTTTGCTGGTGCATGGCAGGATGGGTGGATGTGGAGTTGTGTGTGGAAGTATAAAAAGTACATGGGAACTGTTTACTACAGAGAAAGGCTATGTTTTATGCTGCTGGGGCCTTAGTGAAATCGGGTTCTCCTTTTCAGTGCTTTATTTATTTGTTTTGACACATTCCTACTCCGTACTAGCCTCTTCAAACCCCATTACAAACTGTGATTTCTGTTGGCATACATGAAATGGATGCATGTGAGCATGTCCATGTGCCATTCCTTTGCCACTATATCAAGCAATGGTGAGCACTCATTTGTCTGGATAGTACTGGCCATGCCTTGGCCCGTCTCCGTGAGAACACTGTGTGCCCTCTTGAATTCTTTGATCACTTCCTTTTACTGCCTCATTTCCCTAAGAGTTGACCCATTGGTAAGGCTAAGCAGGAAAGGACGGATGTTTCTGAAGATGTTAACTCTTTCGTTAGAAAATACACATCTTCACTTCTTAACTTCCATAAAATGTTTATATTTTTTCTTCCAAGATTTGATCAGAGAGTTGTTCAGTTTGTACAGTGAAAATGTATTAGGGGCTGGCCCCGTGGCTCAGAGGTTAAGTACGCGCACTCCACTACTGGCGGCCCAGGTTCGGATCCCGGGCGCACACCGATGCACTGCTTCTCCGGCCATGCTGAGGCCGCGTCCCACATACAGCAACTAGAAGGATGTGCAACTATGACATACAACTATCTCCTGGGGCTTTGGGGAGAAAAAGGGGGAAAAAAAGGGGAGCAGGGTGGGCAATAGATGTTAGCTCAGAGCCAGTCTTCCTCAGCAAAAAGAGGAGGATTAGCACGGATATTATTTCAGGGCTGATCTTCCTCACAAAAAAAAAAAAATAATGTGTTAGGCCTGTGGGTAAATGTATTTGTAGTAAAAGGAGCAGGAGAAATTGGAAACTTCAGGAATGTACAAAACCTTAGGGAAGCTCAGACAGACATTTCCCTTAGTGTACATGTTTTCAGTTGTAAGAAATTTGGGTCTGCAACATACTTAAGGCACATATTTTAAAAGAGTAAGTTGTAGATAGTACCTGTAAGTGATCAGAAGGTATCAGATTGTACCCTCAAACAACTTAACCAAACAAGAATGATATGTTACAAATGTGTTGTTTTTATTTATATCCCTTAACTCTGTATTTTGCAGGTATTATTTTTCTAGCTTTATACATAAAAAGTAAACTATACACTGATTTTGAGAATTATCTTACATTATTTTATCTATCATTTATTGTCATAACTATTTAGAAACTACTACTTTTTTTATCCTAATAATTTAACTGATTGCTTCTTTCTTTATCAGTGACTTTAAAGTCTGAAGCAAAAGCTGATGTTTCCACTAAGTTTTAGTTTTAATGATTTAAGAAGTTGATCTTTGACTTGTTAGATAAAATACGTTGATTACAGAAATATCAATATTGTCACCGAGTTCTCTCTCCATGAATTATCTTAGAGAATAGTCAATTCAAAGTTATTAACGTGAGAAATTTGTAAATTGAGTGCCTGGCAGTTGGAAGACTTTTAAATGCATGTTTAGTTATCTGATAGAGAAACCCACCCATTTATGTAAATGGCTGAATATCATCAAAAACATTTTCTGTTGCAAGTTACTGAACACCCAATCTTAAACTAGCTAAGCCCAGAGGAGGCCAAAAGGTGCCTTTTGTGATCTAAAGAAAGGGAGATTTCTTATTTATTCAGTTCTGAATTGAAAATAATAATTTTATGAGATGTTAGTAATGCTTAGAAATAGTAACTGCTTCCCTTAAAGTACAATGTCCTGACCAGTGGTGCTGTGCGAGTATGCATGTTTTGTCTATTTGTTAATGAGGTTTCCTTTTTCCAGATGCCAAATCTCAACCAAGTGTTCAGTTTTCAAAAGCCTTAATTAAACTGCCCGACAACCATCACATCAACAATGTTACAGGCTATCTTACAGTTCTACAGCAATTTTTGAAAGTGGACAATTTTCTGTATACAACTGGAATTACTCTCAATAAATCAGGTATTATCTAATTTTTACATAATATAATCATATTTCTAAGAAAAAGTACATAAATCTCTCAAATACTAAGTTATTTAGATATTTGATATTCATTTAAGCTTCGGAGGATACATGTCACTTTTGAAACATAAATCTAGTTATTGAAACGTTTATAGGCAATTCCCTTTTATCCAATGAAAGATATTACCAGAGTCTTCTGCATACATTATTTCAAATTAATGGAAAATTTAATTTACAGGATATTTTTATCCAAAGGGAGTAAACAAGATATAGAAAACAGTAATGATTACTGTATAACTTTGCAAATCACATACATTTAAAAATGGAAATTTGATTTAAAGAAGTTTACACGTATCTTTTTATAATTTGTCCTATTCATTCTTAACAAATTGATCAGAAGTGACAATAATTGTTAGATGTGGAAAAGTTTATAGATTGGAGTAAGCAATTGGAGATTTTTCTTTTCAAACATGTTTAATATCCTCTATGAGTAAAAATTTATAAATATTTTCCAGCTTCAACGGCACTAAGGCTGTCATGACTTAAAAGTTAAGGGGATGGAGGAATTTTACATTTTATTTAACAGTTAACCTATGAATCACCCCCATAAAAAACAGCATATTCCCTGTGTACATCCACACTTGCTTCACCACTTGTTGCAGCATAACAAACCCCACTGTTTTTAAAATCACCTCAGACCATCTGTAATTTTGATGGTTTCAGCTGTGTCAAATTTTTGGTCCATTTCATTTGGGAAAGAGCCAGAAATTAGAGTAATAAGCATATAGGTGTTTTGGTTAGATAGGTATTTTTTTTACATGCCATAGCTGTGCTATTGGTGCCCTAGCCACATGACCCTCACTTTTCTGTTACAAGCCTGTTTCCTACTGCACAGACCTGCGACTCTGCCTGAGGGCATTCCTTGGTCCAGAAGGCAAGCTTGGCCCTCATAAAGAACACTACTGCTCATTAATACATCCTACGTAGGCTTCCTTCTTTCTTCTCTCTTAGTCCTCTACTCCCTTCATGGTAGGTGCTTCCTCCTGAGTTATCTCAGGGTCTGCTTCTGGAGGAAGCCCGTCTAAGATGCCTGCCAAAATTTTCCAGGTGGCAGTTATAGAATGTTCAAAATAAAAACTATCACAAATGAAGCTCATGTTGCACTGGAGGGTTTTTATGGGCAAGCCTCATTAGATTCAGTGGGAAGCGGTCATGATATGCTCTGCTCTCCAACATTCCTCTACTACCTACTTTTGAGATTATTCATTAAAAGTTTCTGTTGTCCTAAGAATGCTGCTCCCCTTTTAAAAGTTCTAGAGCAGTGCTGTCAAATGGGAATGTTCTTTCTCTGTCCAATATGGTAGCCGCTAGCCACATGTGGCTATTGAGCTTTTGAAATATGACTAGCGCACTGAGGAACTTGATTTAAATTGGCACATGTTGCATGTGGCTACTGTATTGGATTGCACAGTTCTAGAGTTCTATGAGTATAAAAATATCTTTTATTAAAGTTTACTCCTTGTTGTCTTTCAGTCTCTCTTTTTCCCTTGTACCATTCTTTTTTCCTTCTTAAGTTGGCCTTATCCCAGATGGGGAGTGTCGATCTGATCAGTTTCAGCTGCATTCAGAATGTGAAGCCACTGACTGCATAGGACTGGGGGATGGAGTTAAGAGCAGTCACTTCAGAAAGCTGGCTGGCTTTACTAAATAATTTGATATGAGATTATAATTATTTACAGATTACATAATACTTTATTTGTGCTTATGTTGGATTACTTACCAGTGCAACAAGTCCACAAAATATGTACGGTGATACTTTGCTTATCTTATGATTAGTGTTTGAGGAAGTTTCAAAGACTAATTCTCTTATATTTAACTGAAATTTTTCAATAAGCCAGTGGTTGCCCTGTCTGATAACTGAAGATAAATATCAGATGTGATAGTAGCGATAATGAGAATTCCCTTCCATGGCCTCCAAGGCCCTAGGCTATTTCCACCTCTCTTTGCCCTTCAGCCTTCCTTCTTTCTCACACATGCCAAGATCACTTCTGATTTGGGGGCTTTGCACTTGTTCCTTCTGCCTGAAAGGCTCTTCTGAGGTCTTTGTGTTGATGGCACCTTATCATTTGGCCACAGCTCAAACGTCCCCTCCTCAGAGAGGCAGCCTTCCTGACCACCCAGTTACATTGCCTTTCCAGATTTTCTTCAAAGCACTGATAAAGTATCTATCATACACTTAATTCAAGTGGAGGAAAAGCCGACAATGAGGAAAGAAATGAAAAAAAGGATTTTTTGATAGTAATGAGGATTGTGAAAAAAATCTTCCAGACAATGTAAGAGATCACGTACTCACTGTGTCTCTGGAGCCAAAATGAGTGCGTGCTTCCATTAGGGCTCTGTTGTAAATATTTGTTGAATGAACAAAACTGGCTTTTAAGCCAAAGATCCAAAAGTTTAACCACAAAGAGGAAATAATATCTAATAAGTGTACTTTAGTCAACTCTTTCTGTGTTGGTAAATTACTTGGAAAATTTAAATTTATCAAATTATTTGTAGAAAATTTATATTATAATTTTAACATCATCTATAACCACATTATTTTATTCATTGTAAATATTCTGGTGTATATTATAACTTTGGCATTGCTAATATTTCAAAAACAAAACAAAGAAAGACATTTTGTTTTTTTTCCCCTAAGTAATAGGAAAAAATAAGTAGCTCCTGATATTGAAGAAGGCATACTATAAATTGTATAACCACATCTTTAAAACCATAGGCAAAGCAGTATAACCAGTTCTTCTATTAATCTCCTGTACCCCTACTTTTCAAGTTTTGAAGACTAAGTAATATTAACATTTAGTCTAAGTTTATATTCTTTCAATTATCCTATTGTTAATCAGATGTATATTGAGGCCTATTATTTTTATTAGCTAACAATATTGCTGATTTTCTCTCATGTTTGTCAAACCTATCTATAAACATTGCATTTTGAATAGAATGCTTTTTACCTAAGGTAACTGTTAAGGAGTACAGCTGAGTCTCTTGGTTCTAGTACTTGAAACAGATGGTCTTGGGAGGAGGAGAGACAGATGCTTTAGACCTGTATCTGCGTTGATGATGTGGTATGGTGGATCTTTTATTAGTGAGATATGTTTTTTTGGTTGTTGGTTTTGTAGGTTTTTAAAAAACATTGAATTAGATTCCAGTGACCTTAAATCAGATGACTCTGAGAGAATTAGATCTCTAGGCTCGTATTGTCATATTATAATGTTACATAAGTATAGCTTATATTTATTTGATATATTTTAAAATTATATTTTAAAAATCCCTAATGAAGATCTAGTATCTATATGATATTAAAATGGACAACTCTAGGTGAAATAGAGGAACTAGATATTTTAGGCCCATCTTAATTTGTTACTAATATGTAACTACAATCTGTATTTTATGTGTGATTTTAATGAAACTGTCTTCTTTTTTAGGTTTTGAAAGCATTGAATTGACTCCACTTGCTGCAATATGTGTGAAAATATATTCTGGAGGAAAAGAATTAAAAGTGGATGGCTCTATTCAAGTTTCTCTCCCGCTTCTACATACAGATGATGTAAGGGCAGGGGATCACATCCCTGCCTGGACATTTGATATGAACACAGGTATGTGAGCTAGGAGAAAATATTCTGAATATTTGAATGTTTTATCTTAGAAATATGTTTCTATGTTATTTTTATTTAAAAAAAATTCAGCTTTATTAAGGTATAATTGATGAATAAAACGTCTATATTTTTAATACGTGATAATATTAAAATTTAACTTAATATCTTTATTATTTAAAACATATTAAACTATATCATTTATATTTGAATGTTTTACCTTTAGTAGAGCGCTAAATTAGTAATGTTAGAATTTTAACAACCAAAATTGGTCCCACTTTGATTAATATATTACAACTGTGGGGAAAATGATGCCAATATATTCTATTTAAAAATAGCATTATTTACTCACATTCCCATGCCTTTTTTATATCCCCTAACATTTTGAGCAGAAATAAAGTTTATTTTTTAAGTTATTTCTACTTTTATGGGTTGTTTTTGTTTTGATAGGCAATATGAACTTATATCTAAAAGCTTGGTTAAAGCATTTGAGAAATGTATGCTAATTTCATGAAAATAAATAATATTGTGTTATTAAGAGATTGAGAGTGATTATTTTCCAAAAAAAACCTTAGGTACCAATTTTGTTCCCTGAGTTTAGCCTCCTGAATAGCAGCTGGAAGCACTTTTTCCTCCTTTGTTTCCCCTCGTTTTGTTTCTGTGTTTCCATGTAAATAAGGTAGGAAAGTTACAAAAAAACAAAGAAAAGGATGTGATCAGCTCACACCTGAAAAGCCCAGGGCTAGAACTATCTTGGTGAGTCATGACACAGAGCCAGGACCATTTCATGGGACTTTATCTCTCTTCTCCTCTCTCATCTCTTTACTCTATGTTAACACCTTTCTGGGGTAGGATTTCTCTTCAGGGTGGCAAGAAGGCTGTAGATGCTCTAACTTTATACCTACCCAGGTTGAAGTCCAATGGAAAGAGAGATTGTTTTCCTAGTAGCTATTGCACAAGCCCTTGGATTCACTGCAGTTGTAGTATGGAGTTTGCGTGCCCCATCTTGGAACCCATCTTTGTGGCCTACAAGCAGAATGCACAGATTTATTTAGGCATAAGTCACATGTTGGGGCTGGGTATGGAGCCCCAAACTAATCGTGTGGACTGAGAATAGGGAGCAGTCGATTCTCAAAGGAAATTTGGAAAGAGATTTCACTGTAACTAGAAGGGTAGATAGGCAAAAAAAAAAAAACAAATCAAATGTTCACTATAGAAGGTAAGCAATAGTATATCCATGTTTTTAAGGAAGAGTGGAAACTATATCAATAACAATGGTAATTGTAAGGGAAAAACTCTTCTCTCAACGCTCTATTCTAGCTCGTTACTTCACTTCTGGTCACCAAATTTGGGGGTGTTTTCCTGCACCAAGCAGTTCTCCAACACCAGCTGGGTGTCCTAAAATTCCATTCAATTCAGACACTATCTACCACGAGTTAGCATCAGATCCCACAGGTTAAGGACTCAGTCCCATAAGACACCCCCCAGAGGCAAATTGCAAGTCTGATTTGTCATCTGTGCTTCTGACTGACTGGCTATAAATTGGAGGTTTATGACCCACCTCCTCAAGTTTGATAATTTGCAAAAACAGTTTACTTACTAGATTACCAGTTTATTATAAAAGGGTACCACTTGGTAATGGCCAGATGGAAAACATGCATAGGGCAAGGTTTGGGGGAAGGGGCACAGAGCTTCCAGGCTCTCTCCTCTGGGTGCTTCAGCCTCCCGGCACCTCCGCTGTTCACCAGCTCTGCTCTCTCAACCCTGTAGTTCAGGGATTTTTATGGCGGCTTCATTCTGTAGGCGTGATTGATTAAATCATTGACCATTGGTGATTGAACTCAATCTCCAGCCCCTCTCCCCTCTCTGGAGGTGTGTATGGGGTGGGGCTGAAAGCTCCAACCTCCCAATCACGTGGTTGGTTCCCCCGGCAACCAGTCCCTATCCATAGGGACTTTCCAAAAATCACCTCGTGATTAACATAAACTCAGGTGTGGTTGAAAGCACAACAAAAGACACTCTTTCCACCTGTATGGATCTTATCATGTAGGAATTCCAAGGGTTTTAGGAGCCAGGACTGGGGACGAAGACCAAATATGCATTTCTTATTATGAATCATAATATCACAGTAGCATACTATTGTAAATCATTGGATTAAGAGCCTAAAACTTGGTTTCTAGTCCATTTGCCAGGATTGTGATTTTGAACAAATCACTTAACTTATTCGGGCCTCAATATCCTAATTTGTTGAATGAGAGACTTGTTTTAAAACTCTTTAAAGAAGAATATCTGCTTTGTTTGAGTCCTGATTTCTGATTGTTCCTCTTGACAAAGGCCTTTGTCTCTAATGTATCTTCCAGTGACAAAGTTTTTATATTGATTTATCACATGTGTAATGCTTAATTTTAATGTGACTGTTTAAGAAGCATAGGTTGACTCATTCTCATCATTTCAAGTTTGTCTACCTTATTAAAACACTGTTTTACATGTTGTAGATAACGTCATTACAGTGAGTCAATAAACCAAATACAAATACACACCAAACTTGTAAATAGCTTTGTTATGCCGAACTTTAGAAAAGGTGTGGGTTTTACTGAATTCTTTTTCCTGTGGATGGCGTTTTATTGCATCAGAAAATATTTTTAAAATTTTTAAAAATTTAGTTCCAAAAGAGCTAGGCCAATGGTACTAGAACAAAAGAGTATTTAATTAAAAAAATTAATAAGGCCATGAAACATACCCTATAAGTGTTTAATCAGAATCCCAGAACAGATGACAAGTAACCACCTATTAATAAATTTGGGTTTCACTATGCACGTCCTTAAGACCTGTCTCAATATATGCAATTTAAACGTTATTTGGAGAGTCATGATTTCCCTAAATATGCCTATATCCTCATTTGTAATGGTTTTATTTCCTTTAGTCATAACAAATCATTCAAATTATTCTATTTTATATATTATTATAATATGTACTATATTATTCTATAATATATATATTAGCCAATGATAATATATTGCCACAGTTTTCATAATCTTTGAAAAAGTCCTGCAAAGTATTCTATACATGACTTTAGCAAACTCCTGTCAGCATTAAAGATATATGAACTAACTGATTGGTATTTTTTACTTGACTTCCTTTTTAGGTGCTTGGGTAAATCATGGCCAGGGAATAGTCAAGGATTATAACAATCATTTAATTTGGACATATGACGCACCGCATTTGGGCTACTGGATAGCAGCTCCACTTCCAGGAACTAGAGGTATTGTAAAATGATACAAAGTAATTAAAAAAAAATCCAAATAGTCATACTGGAATTGATATCAGCACATCTTGATTTTATTCTTAGCATTGCCATTACCTACTGTAGGACACTGGAAAAAGCTTCTAGTCTCTTGATCCCAGCTTAATCTTTTCTTAAACATATGAAAAAAATAAAGTGCCGTGAACTCTAAGGTCTTTTATAGCTATAGTGTCTGATGAATCTGTGAAGTATGAAATTTGTTCAAATCAAGTATTTTCTTTTCTTTGTTTACTTTTCATGAATAAATTCTACCCAAATCAGTTAGAGCTTTTGGTTGAAAACAACAGGAACAGATTTTGGATAATTAAAAAAAAATGTATTAGGGGGCCGGCCCAGTGGCTCAAGCGGTTAAGTGCGTGCGCTCCACTGCAGCGGCCCGGGGTTTGCTGGTTCAGATCCCTGGCGCGCACGACGCACTGCTTGTCAAGCCATGCTGTGGCGGCATCCCATATAAAGTAGAGGAAGATGGGCATGAACGTTAGCCCAGGGCCAGTCTTCCTCAGCCAAAAAAAGAGGAGGATTGGCAGATGTTAGCTCAGGGCCGATCTTCCTCACACACACACAAAAAAGTGTATTATGATATATGGAGTTCGCAGGATCCCAGGGAAGAGTGAAGAACCAGATTCTAAAAGGCAGGAATACCAGAGGGCCCAGTTAGTAGGCCTACTTGACTGTCTGTGCAAGATTGCTGCTAAGTGGTAGCTGACTCCGACCCTCTGCAGTCTTTTCCTCACACTGGTCCTGATCATTCTAGGGATGAAGAATCTGGTTGGCCCAGACTTTGGACATGAGCACACTTGTTGGTGGGGGTGGGGGTGGGAATGAAGAAGGGCTATTGAATAATAGTGTCCCCAGACTGTTTCCAAATAAGACAAGGATACCCCAAATGAAGATTGGCCTGACATATGAACAGAAGGGGGACAAAAACCGAGATTTGTCCACCAAGAATGATCTATTCATATTCTGGGAAAAATGAGTATTTCACTTTTTCTTGATTTAACATGGTATCAAATTATCTATATAATTTGTACCTAAGGAAATCCTGCATTCATCTTGAATTGTGTAAATCTCTCAAAATTCTCAAACATTGCATTTTTTATCCATTAAATCTTCTTAAAAAAAGGAAAATCTTCTAACTTACTGTAGCGTAGACTGGTTGCACCATGGGCCTGCTGCCACTTTCTGGGGCTTTCCGGTGTCCGATGGTGTAGATTGAGTTGCTTCTTGGCTTTTCCTGCTGCCAGCTTTGCTGAGTTAGCTTTCCCGCCTTCAGCATGTTGTTGCTCTTTCTCTCATCTTATTCTCTTTTAATCCCTAGGTTTGTACATTCACAAAAACAAAACAAAGCTAAACTTGGAGCATCATTTTAGTGAAGTTTTGAGAGAGTGTGAAAGTTGAATGCATGGGTCATTCCTTCATCTTTAATCATGTGTCGGAGATCATTCTTTTGGTTGATCCGGTGTCTTGGCTCCCAGCTGAGAGACAGCTGTGACCTGGCCATTTCATGCCGGTCAGGAGTAGTCCCAGTGCACACCCTGATCAAGGATGTGGGTGCCATTTTACATATTTCTTTCTCTTCTACAGTATTCTATCATGGCGATCTATTAATAATTTGAAGGTTCTCAGAGTTTCTGAAAAAGTTCTTTGTTTAATAGTTTGATTTATATTTTCATTTTACGTTGACAACTTTTGAATTTTAAACCATGCAAGGTAACAAGACTTTTTTCCAATGAAGCCAAAATTTAGTATTCCAATAGAAGAAATATGAGCCATTAACCATTATGATCAAGAGGGATGTTCTCTCTGTTTCTGTTTGAACTTAGTGCTTACGAGATTATTTATTCAGAAACCAGAGGGTGGTTACTTTTGTTCTTCATGATTCAAAATATCATGCAGGCTTGCCAGCTGTCTGACCTTCTCCCATTCTAGGTTTGCAACTATAATGAAATATTGATAAAAAAGAACAAGTAATATTTAACTTAATACTTCAACTCAACTAAATCCAAGTTATTTCATTTCTAATAAAAATAACCTAACGAGCAATTGAGTTCTAGAGAGAAGTGTACTTTCCACCAAAAATTATATGTGAAACAACCAGTTTACATAAGATGACTATGAATTATGAAAACTGATATAATTTTCTAAAATAGGTGGAAGTTTTGTTTTAGCCTATATGTTGGAAAAGATTCTGTGTGAATCAGAGAACTTAAAATAGAAGTGTGGAATTCCTTATTTAGTTTGAATTAGATACCTTCTAGTGATGCTTCTGAAAAATTTGTTCTGCAAGCATATCACAGTCAAAGGAACGCTGCACTATAAATATGGGTATCTTGACTGTAGCTCTGGCTTTGCCAATAACTAACTGGATGAGGTTGAAATAGGTACTTACCCATCTGAGTACTAGTTTTCTTGTTTCTAAATAGCGGGAGTTGGATATGATGATCCCTAATGTCCCTAAACATTTTAGGATGTGAGTGTTACTGTAAAATCAAAGTTGGTCCTGTGATGAGCTAGTTAGTGTCTGGTGCTACTTTAGTTATAATTTGGTTGATAATATCCTAAAGCTATTTTTTAAAATAAATCTTAAATAGAATTCTAAAATTGCTTGAAAAAAATATTAAGTGCAAGAGATTAAAATCAAATAGTTTTTCATAGATTGCTGTAGGCAAGTGGCAGCTGAGTAGAGCTTAATAAACAAATGCTTATTAATATATTTTTAAATATGCATTTTCAAATATATTTGAATTAAAATATATTGTAATTTCTACCTTTCTAACCCCTTTTAGGCATGTACACAAACACACGCACACAAACACACATGCAGATGCATACTTGCTTGCTATTGTCATACATATAATATTTGGGACAGACCCAACAGTATCAGCCTCATACTTCCAAAAGTGAGTTGTGTGGGAATCCTGTGGAGTGAAAATTGTTCGCATTACTCTATTGTGGACACGTGTATTCTTATACTCTCAGGAGCAGAAGTTGAATTTCACCCAGTTATAATCAAACTTTTCTCTGTTGCAGGTCTGTATCCTGAATAAGAATCTGCAGATAGAATTGTTACTCTTATTTCTTTTTTGTTTGAAGAAATTTCTTATCGTGCAGTGCTGTAATTGGTTTAGATATGATAAACACTTTATTATTTGTTACCGTATAGGAAAGTGTGGCCAGTACTGGAGTGCCTATTCTTTTTTTTTTATTTTTATTTTTTTATTTTTTTAGCTTATTTGTTTATTGCAGTAACATTGGTTTATAACATTGCAAAAATTTCAGGTATACATCATTGTACTTCTATTTCTGCATGGACTACATCATGTTCACCACCAAAATACTAATTACAACCCATCACCACACACATGCACCGAATTACCCCTTTCACCCTCCTCCCTCCCCCCTTCCCCTCTGG